GGTTTGGAATTGGGCCTAAATTTTTTCTTTTTTCTTTTTTTTTTTTTTGTTTTGCCATTGTTTGGGGCCTTTGGGTTGGCCTTTTGTTTTTTTAAAAAAAGGCCCACAACAATATATATATCAGCAAGTGAAGGCTGTGAAACAGACGAGAAGAAGCACTGAAGCAGCGCCGTGACCGGTCTCCATTTCCCACCTTTCCTGGCTCGATTTGCGAAGCTGGTCGACTGCAATAGACTTGGACAGGACGGACCTCCTCCTCCTCCTGCAGCTTTGGCTGGTGAGCGCCCTTTTCCTTCTCGAATCTCGACTGACACTCTTTTTCATTTTTTAGTTTTTTTTTGTGAAAAAAATGAGAATTGTGATATGTGAATTTGTGATTTATGATAAATAATTTATGTTATATAAGTTATGAGTTATAAATTGGGATTTACGAGTTTTGATTTGTGATTTGGAAATTTAGGTTTAGGAATGAGAATTTTTTTGGTGCTTTGAATAGATAAGAGTTGAGTTGGACCTGATTAGTTCTCTTGCACAGTTGCACTGTCATAGATTTGGCTTCATTACCTTCAGTTTTCAAATAAGTGAACTCCAGAGAACCAGTTGGTGGAGAAATTTTGGTCCAGCTATTGTTTAAGGTGGATTTTGTTTTATGTTTATGTGGGCTATTACAGAAAATAGAATTGTGTGATTATTTCTTTTGAATTTGAAACCTGATGGATCATTTGGGAATTGTGACTGGATTGGATTTTGTCAAAAGCTATTGTTTTGAATAATGGGTTGTGTTTATTCAAGGTCTTGTATTGGTGAAATATGTGCACCTAGAGATATATATGTTGAAAAAACTGAAAATGTGAAAGCATCAGCTGAGATTGCAGTGTTCTCACCTGCTCATTCTGACAGCGAAGAAGGGGAAATCATAGATGAATTGAATCAGTTAGCAAGGGATAATGAAGTTGGTATTACTAGATTGTCCAGGGTGTCGGCGCAATTTTTACCCCCTGATGGCTCGAGAACTATGGAGGTTCCAGTCGGGAATTATGAATTGCGCTACTCGTTTTTGTCTCGGAGAGGATATTACCCTGATGCTCTTGATAAGGCTAACCAAGATAGTTTTTGCATTCACACAGGGACGGACCCAGCCTCGAAGCTCCGCCCTAGCTGAACTTCGAGGCTGGGTCCGTCCCTG